CTCATAACAAGGATAAACCAGACAAGAAAGTCAAACCGCCTAATAAGGAAAAGACAGGTCAGAAAGTTAAACTACATAAAAAGGAAAAACCGGGCAAAAAGGCCAAGATCTCTCAAATAGACAAACAAGACAAGAAAGTCAAACTGCCAAAAAAAGAAAAACTAGGCAAAGAGGCAAGGCCTGATAAAAATTTAAATCAAGACAAAACGATCATAACTCATAAAGAAAAACAAGCACCAGAAAAGAAAAAAGGACTGGAAAAAGAAAAGCGTCCTAAAAAGGAAAAACAAGACAAGAAAGTCAAATCTCCTAAAATAGAAAAACAAGACATGAAATTCAAATCTCCTGACATGAAAAAACAAGACAAGAAAGTCAAACCTCATAAAAAAGAAAAACAAGAGAAGAAAGTCAAACCTCCTAAAAAGGATAAACTAGATATGAAAGTCAAACCGCCTAAAAAGGAAAAACTAGACAAGAAAGTCAAACATCATAAAAAAGAAAAACCAGACATGAAAGTCAAACCGCCTAAAAAGGAAAAACTAGGCAAGAAAGTTAAACCTCATAAAAAAGATGAACCAGACATGAAAGTCAAACCTCCTAAAAAGGAAAAACTAGGCAAGAAAGTTAAACTGTCTAAAAAGGAAAAACAAGTCAAAAAAGACACACCTCCTAAAAAGGATAAATCAGAAATGAAAGTCAAACGACCTAAAAAAGAAAAACTAGACAAGAAAGTCAAACCTCATAAAAAAGATGAACTAGACATGAAAGTTAAACCGCCTAATAAGGAAAAACCCGGAAAGAAAGTTAAACTTCCTAAAAAGGAAGAACTAGACAAAAAGACAAAACAAGACATAATTCATAAAGAAAAACAAGCACCAGAAAAGAGAAAAGGGCTGGAAAGAGAAAAGCTTACTAAAAAGGAAAAACAAGACAAGAAAGTCAAACCTCCTAAAAAAGAAAAACAAGACAAAAAAGACAAACCTCATAAAAAGGATAAACCAGACATGAAAGACAAACCGCCTAAAAAGGAAAAACCAAGCAAGAAAGTTAAACTGTCTAAAAAGGAAAAACAAGACAAAAAAGACAAACCTCCTAAAAAGGATAAATCAGACATGAAAGTCAAACCGCCTAAAAAGGAAAAAATAGACAAGAAAGTCAAACCTCAAAAAAAAGATAAACCAGACATGAAAGTCAGAGCGCCTAAGAAGGAAAAACCAGGAAAGAAAGTTAAATTGCCTAAAAAGGAAGAACAAGACAAGAAAGTCAAGCCTCCGAACAAAGATAAAGCAGACATGAAAGTCAAACCGTCTAAAAAGGAAAAACCAAAACGGTTGATAAAAAGTCCAAATCCGTTTGAAAAGACTAAAGGCAAATACGAAATTAACAAGCCTATGAAGGAGAATGACCCTAAAAAGATCAAACCTAATAAAAAAGGCAAAGAGCCTAAAAGAGACAAGCCTTTCCAAAAAGCCAAAGTACCCGAAGATGACAAATCCAATAAAACGTCACAGTTGATAACAAATCCTAACCCATTTAAAAAGACGAAAGGAAAATACGAAGTTAATAAGCCTATTAAGGACAAGGACCTTAAAAAGATCAAACATCCTAAAAGAGACAAAGAGCCTAAAAAGGACAAACCTCTTAAAATGGCCAAACAGCCTAAAAAATCCAAACAGCCTAAAAAAACTGAGCCTTCGAAAAAAAGCAAAGAAGCTAAAGATGACAAATCCAGTAAAACGCCAAAGTTGTTAACAAATTCGAACCCGTTTAAAAAGACAAAGGGAAAATACGAAGTTAACAAGCCTATTAAGGACAAAGACTCTAAAAAGATGAAATCTCCAAAAAAGACCAAAGAGCCTAAAAAAGCCAAACCACCCCCAAAAGTTAAAGAACCTAAAGATGACAAATCCACTAAAACGTCACAGTTGATAACAAATCCGAACCCGTTTAAAAAGACGAAAGGAAAATACGAAGTTAACAAGCCTATTAAGGACAAGGACCTTAAAAAGATGAAACATCCTAAAAAAGCCAAGGAACCTAAAAAGGACAAACCTCTTAAAATGGCCAAAGAACCTAAAAAAAATGAGCCTTCGAAAAAAAGCAAAGAAGCTAAAAATGACAAATCCAGTAAAACGTCACAGTTGATTACAAATTCGAATCCGTTTAAAAAGACGAAGGGAAAATACGAAGTTAACAAGCCTATTAAGGACAAAGACTTTATAAAAATGAAATCTCCAAAAAAGACCAAAGAGCCTAAAAAAGCCAAACCACCCCCAAAAGCCAAAGAACCTAAAGATGACAAATCCACTAAAAAGTCACAGTTGATAACAAATCCGAACCCGTTTAAAAAGACCCGAGGAAAATACGAAGTTAACAAGCCTAAGGATAAAGACCGAAAAAAGTCAACAAAAAAACAAAAAGCCAAAGAACCTAAAAAATCTAATCCTTCCCAAAAAGTCAAAGAATCTAAAAAATCCAATCCTTCCCAAAAAGTCAAAGAATCTAAAAAATCTAATCCTTCCCAAAAAGCCAAAGACCCTAAAAAATCTAATCCTTCCCAAAAAGTCAAAGAATCTAAAAAATCTAATCCTCCCAAAAAAGTAAAAAAACCTAAAAAGGCCAAACCTAATAACCAGGCCGACGAACATAAAAAAGCCAAACCCCTTAAAAAAGGCAAAGAATCTAAAAAAGCCAAACAACAGCAAAATGCCAAAGAACCTAAAGATGACCAATCCACTAAAAAGTCACAGTTAATAAAAAATCCGAACCCGTTTAAAAAGACGAAAGTAAAATACGAAGTTAACAAGCCTAAGGATAAAGACCCCAAAAAGTCAAAACCTCCTAAAAAAGCCATAGAACCTAAAAAATCCAATCCTCCCAAAAAAGTCAAAGAACCCAAAAAGGCCAAACCTCCTAAAAAAGCCAAAGAACCCCAAAAAACCAAAGAACCTAAAAAATCCAAAGAGCCTAAAAAAGCCAAAGAACCTAAAAAAGCCAAACCCCTTAAAAAAACCAAAGAGCCTAAAAAGGTCGTGCCTCCGAAAAAAGCCAATGAGATACAAAATACCAAACCTACCAAAAAAGTGCATGAACCTATAAAGGTCAAATCTCCCAAAAAAGCCAAAGAACCTAAAAAGGTACAACCTCCCAAAAAAGCCAAACCACCAAAAAAATCAAAATCTTCAAAAAAAGCCAAAGAACATAAAAAAGTCAAACCTTCCAAGAACGTCCAAGAACCTAAAAAGTCCAATCCTCCCAAAAAAGTCAAAGAACCTAAAATGGCCAAACCTCCTAAAAAAGCCAAAGAACCTAAAAAAGCCAAACCCCCTAAAAAAAACAAAAAGCCTAAAAAAGTCGAGCCTCCGAAAAAAGCCAAAGAGATAAAAAATACCAAACCTCCCAAAAAAGTGAATGAAGCTATAAATGTCAAACCTTCCAAAAAAGCCAAAGAACCTAAAAAGGTACAACCTCCAAAAAAAGCCAAACCATCAAAAAAATCAAAATCTCCAAAAAAAGCCACAGAACCGAAAAAGGTCAAACCTTCCAAGAACGTCCAAAAACCTAAAAAGGTCAAACCTCCCCAAAAAGATAAATCACCCAAAAAAGCAAAACCTCCGAAAAAAGCAAAACCTCCGAAAAAAGCCAATGAACCTAAAAAGACCAAGCCCTCCAAAAAAGCCAAACCACACAAAAAATCAAAACCTTCGAAAAAAGCCAAAGAACCTAAAAAAGTCAAACCTCACAAAAAGACCAAGGAGACTAAAAAGGCCAAGCCTCCCAAAAAAGCCAAACCACCCAAAAAAGCCATTCCTCCTAAAAAAGCCAAAGAACCGAAAAGAAGGAAACCTCCCAAAAAAGCTTAAATTGTTATGATTTATAATCGTTTTTTGTTTCCTGGAAATCGTTGAAGTTTTCTGAATTATTCATGATATTTTTCTATGTTTTGTCTTTGATTTGTAAGGTAATATTTGTCATACTATATATATTCCTATATAGTGTAATGAAAAATGAAAAGTTATATCATGTAAACGTGTTTTCTTTTGTACGTTATTACAATATGTGGACTCTTTTTGCCATTGCCCCTGTCAGTTCACCAACCCGCCCGTACATATGCCTATATTGTCACTACGGCTGTCATTAGATTTAAAGAACAGATTTTCTATTGAGTTCTATTGTCACATTGTCATATCCCCCCTTCAATAGTCTATATTGCATGGGCATTTTCAAATTCTGATGTGATGCAGCTATATATGTCCATATTGGTCTATGGATTGAATAATGTCGCATAACAATCTAACGCCCGGTTCATCTGAAATTCACGAAAATGTATCGACCAATCTCTCACTTTTTAAATTGATTAAAAAAAAATGGAAATGGAGGGGGAGGGGGCAAAGCCGGGCAGCCTCTATTTTCTATTCCATGTTTTTATTGTTTTTTTTTTGTATAAACAATATTAATTGACATAATAGGAGTAGTTAAGAGAATACACTTTAAGGCTTAAGCTTACATTACATAAATTGATTATAGAATAAAATATGGTCAGGTATTATGGAGGTAACTCCAAGAGAGATCAAGAGATAATTGTAGGCCTATTTCATGTTGCCCAAAGAGTTTGAACGATTATAGCATTATTCAGAGTTGGAGAAGAATAACTAATGTTTATTTCGTTTAATTGTCGCTTCAATCTTCAAAAAACAGTTCCCTTGTCCTACAAACTGACCCAAAACTATATCTGCAAAATTTTCTTGTGGTGGTCCCACAGTCCGTATACAAATAAACCTTAATTCGCCAGGAAATATCAGGAAATCGCGTTTCAGGGAGTCAAATTCTCTAGAATTTTCTAGAGGGGGTCCCCAAACTTCAGAAAATCATGTTTCCTGGCTTCCATTGGGCTTCCTCGGCAATTCACAATGTTTTCCGGGACTTGGTTGGCTACTTGCCTGCCCTTTCGACCAGGAGCTCAAAAAGATGTAAATTTGCGAGTTGGTATTAAGTCGCCATTTGGTTCTAGTTTCGTCGAATTTAGATTAGAATCTTCTTGACAAAGAACTGCTTGACAAATTTACAAACCAATTCAAAATTTGTGAACTGACTTTTTGCATTAATGGCGTGCCATAGTGATTGGCTGTATTCGCCAGCATATAATCCCACCAAATCGCTGCATTTACACACCTTCCTGATACAAAGGTGGCTATTGCACATCTTAGCAATCGCTAATGTATTATGAATTTCGAAGTATATCTACAATATAACAATAATCACCATTCTTGTATCATGGGAGTTTATAACTGCAGTGATTTGATTGGATTGTACAACAGTGAAAACAGCCAAAATCTTGTGCAAAGTATGGCAAAATCGAGAGTAGAAGTTGTGTAGTAGTGGACTCCTCCAAAGTGAGGTATCATCAGGTGTTCCAAAAACAGTAAGCACAATATGTTTCTCGGGCGACATCCGCCACTACCACAATCATGATATACAACCAGATCAGTTCATGTCTGACCAAACAAATCAGCCAAAATGCCAGAAACAGGTATTTTGTACCTATTAAGGAGTTCTGCATAACGACCATAAAATTCACTGCATGACATATGAAGTTTGTGTGTCAAGTAACCTTGTTTCAGCAATTTCAAAGTTAATATTCGACCTCTAGCTAGGAAATCCTCATAAAGAGAACAAACCCTAGCATAGGATTATAACCTCCGAAGAGGTTTTAAGCGTTATCGCTTGGCGTAATCCGCTAGGCGTTTGCCAGTGAAATCGCATCAAAACGTCACGGGAGCATATCAATAAAAAAAACTTATCCTAATATGAAAATAGTAGCCCCAACAAGTGATGATATTCGTCAAAAGTGGATCCCTTGACTTTTTCAGGTTGACACCGTTTTCAGAACATTTAAATTGCTTTGACTTCAGTATCACCGTCAACCATGTTGTCTGCGTCTCAAGCAAGTTTTTCTCCGCCTATACTCATGTGCACATAGTACAACGCGGCGTATTTCGTTGTATAATTTTTGGGCATAAACTGGCTCGCTTTACGCGACGTTAAAATTACTGCCAAACTTTGTGTTGATTCGATGTCTTTTACGCTCAAATAAGAAATTTGAAAGTGGTAAGTTTTCGAGGTTAATCTGGCATGATGTAAAATGTGTACAACGCTAAAATATAACTTCCAGCAAACTTTTGGTCCAACAATAAGTGATTTTACCGAAACAAATTGTACGACTTGGCTAGATCAATACGAACAAGTATGACTTACGTCCAAAACAAGTATGACTTTACCAGAACAAGTATAAATTTAACCAGACTTTCCATGTTAAAAAAAACACAAGCAAATCATTTACAAATAGGCTATGACATCCTGCCATTCCAAGAGAGCGTTAAAAATCTGGGTGTGATACTCAATTCTACATCAATAAGCATGGAGGAGAACGTGAAAAAGGTCTGTAGGAAATGATATCATCAACTCAGGAACATTAGTGGTATCAGACATTACCGAATCTGCGGTAGCAACACTTGTTTGCTCCCTAGTAATAAGTAGCATGTTCCTTTCTGAAACATACCACCGTCAGTACTACAACAAATTCTAAAAACCAATTCTAAAGAAGCTCCAATGATTGCCAGTATCAAGAGAATCGCCTCTTGGACTCTTCAATGTACCACAAACTCGGGTCCAGAATATCTGACTGATCTCATTGCAAAGAAGTACCAACATGAATCTAAGATTCAAGTGGCAAACTATAACAAATAAACTTCTTGTTTTTCTTTTTCGTTGGCTGCAGTCAGTGGAATAACCTACCGACACACGATGTTTAAGACAAAAGTTAAAACTGTTTTATTTACCTCTCGTTAGTCTTTATACTTTGGTGACATTTGTTTTTGATCTCACTAGTTTCTGTAAGCGCTATAAGCACGCTATTATTATTTAACAAGTATAAGTATGACAAGACTAGACTTTGATTATAGGTTTGACATAACCAGAACATAACTGTACCAAAACAAGCCTGACTGTACTGTACGAATGGGTTATTAAAATCCATAAAGATTTCGTTTAACATAGCCATTACTATTTAACATCAGTAAGTCATTATCGTACTCTATACATGTGTTTTACAATTTCATGATCCAAAATAATAATGACCGTTTGGTAAGAAAATCTGATTTTTTCACAACCATCAAGTCCTCTGATATTTTCATTATGCTTTTTGAGAGAATAGGGTGTATTTACTAATATTTCTATGAAAATATCTTGTCATGCAACTGATATCCCATAGTTTAGACAAAGACTTTCTCATGATAAATTGTTCATTTTGGCACAAATTAATCTGTTCGAAATATCAAGCTACGATTCCATATACGCGTCATGCGGATCCGCCATGTGTCATCCGTCATGCGTTAAAAATCGAAATGGTTGGTTTAAGAGGGTGTGGTTCCATATATGCGGAAGCGGTATCCGTCAAATGGTCTCCGTCAAGCGTCATCGGGTGTAGCGATTTTTGGCGCATTCGGACGCCTTTCCGCGCGAAGATCTCCCAAATGTGACGTATTTTGTGGGGATTCCCTGTCTTTTTTATGCACCAAAGCATGCATCTGTCCAGAAGTCTGTACGTCAAAAGAAAGATAACGCATACGTTTAACGCTCATATTTGACGCATGACGGATCCGCAAGGGCCATTTATGTCCGCATGACGCATCCGCATGACGCGTATATGGAATCTTAGCTTCAGTCATGACTTCACTTCGAATCAGTGATTGTATCAAAATCACATTAGAATAACGAGTGGATCTATATGGGTAACTATTAGCAGCAAAAATAATAGGTATAGAATTAAAGACATTCAAAATGATAATATGAGATTAGTTTTTTATATCAAAATAAAATGGGTGGCATAACTGTGTAAAGGCAATCATTTTAGTTCATTATCAAATATTTCTTTAATAAAAGATACAATGACTTCGTGAATAGTTAATTTTGATCTAATTATTTGGCTATCAAGGAGATGAAACATTATGAAATTATTCTATATGATAAGATCAAGCGATTCCCATGAAAAGCTTGTCTTTGACCAAGAATTTATGCAACATTTACATTGTTCAGATACAATCCAATCATACTGAATGTTCAGTGTTTGAAATTCAGACTGAGAAAGTAATCAACATCTCTGTTTCTATTAACGGGGCACTAACAAACACATAAAGTGCCGTACATAAGAAGAACAGTTTCAAGAAAAGTAGTGTTATATAAATTTCAGTATGGGATGACTGTGTGCAATAGAAAGAAAAATAATGTTTTTGGTCCAGTGGTCTTGTCTCCAGTATTAAAATTTCACTTAACCTATTGGTTCTTCATTTCGCCTATGTGATCTGAAGTCGGTACCAGAAAGTAGGATAGAGGGCGATGACCATTAAGGCCGATGATCAGAATGTAGCTGTTTTGATAAATAGGTTAAATTTATCATTATTTATTATATTTATCTTTATATATTGTATGTATGTATTATGCTTTGTTTTTTTTCATTAAGGGTGAAATTTGATTTTTTGATACTAATTATGTAATCCTTTGTATCATTTATTGCCTGTGTTTCTCATAAGAAAAGTCACTTTTTTCTAAATAATTCGAATATGATGGGGTTTAAATTGTCGATATGTATATTTATGTTAACTGATGATATTATTTTACAGTCCCTCCTCTTTTTAAACTAACCTCACTATTCATTGTTTAGCTAATTCAGATATAGCTCATTACATGTTGAACTATGAAGTATTTAGCAACTCTTAGATGTCCACCTTCTGGCGTCTGATTGGTTGAAATAAAGTACGTGGCGACATCTCTGTGTAATTTCCAACATGGCTGACTCCGGCATGGTAGGAAAAACAGATATCAGAACTACAATGGGGAATCCTGGAGGCTGGAAAAGTCTATTGACATTTTTCATTCTCGCCCTAGCATGGTTGGCTGGATTTAGCTCTAGATTATTTGCTGTCATTCGTTTTGAAAGCATCATACACGAATTCGATCCCTGGTAAGAATGGAGAACCGGCTCTTTTTTTCTTTTATTATTTATCCAAATTTATCTTTCTCTTTTTTTTTTTACGTAAAATACATTTCTTACTATTGAATTTAGATATAAATCCTTTGGTGGCCTTTCTTATTTCATTGCATAGTCATCTTTAGAGCACCTTAACTTTATTGGGTCCATTGTGCCTCTCAGAATCGACCAATGTGGGTGCTTTCCCTTGTAGATAATTCCACTGCTCAGTCACAACAAAATACGATGCACAGAGAGGAAAGAAGCCAATGAATGAAACACCCTCTCTAAAAGTCAGACTGGTGGAGGCTGAGGCATGCAAGTGAAATAGTATTGACAACTAAAATACTTAAGTGCTTGAAGTTTACTGACATGAAAGTAATGTTGATGATACTGATAGAGTGATATATAATTTGTAGTGATGGAATATGATGATAATATTATCTCACTAACTGGGAATTTGTACAGTGGGATTACAGGAAACAAAATAAGCGGTTGCGATTCAAGTTTTGGCAGAACGGGATTTAATTTTCGTCAGTAGAGCATTTTTTTTGTAATGCATAATGTTTTCTAATAATAAATGAAACTCAACTGATTATAAAATTTGGTGTCTAAAACAATGAAATCCCGTTAATTTGTAAAACCTGTAATCAAATTTCTTGAGGATGTGAGATTAGGCACAGAAACAAAAGAGGCATCACTGTTGCTATAAATAGTATTGTAGTCATAGATTGTGCTAACTTGGTGGAAAATACTCATGCTTCATCATTTAATGGTCAAAATACAACACTTCTAAAAAAATATAGTAAAAAAATATTAAGAACTTACAAATATCCATTTATGTAAGAGATGCCAAAACAGAGGTCTAAATATTATTGGTAGGTTTGGACTTTTCTTAATCGAGAATTATTGAAAGCTTAGACTCAATGTCATGGGAATAGATAAGACAAATGCAAGTATTTCATCACTTAAAAAATAACATGGAAGATATCAGGAGTAAGAAAAGCCATTATTGAAGAATTATATTCCAATAAGTGAACATGTAAGCCTAAGTGAGGTAGAACCACTCAATATTATCGGGTCTGCATTGTGCAAACTTGTTGAATTTTTTGTCTGAACGGGGTGTGCATTATTTAAGGTGACAGATTTTTAAGATTTACTCGAGTGTCAAAGGAATGCACAAAAGGAATTTGGGTTTAACGTCTACTTCTTTTAAAATTATAATTTGCACTGGTGGTATTGAATTTACAATTCAAGAATCATTTAATTTAATACGATTTCTAACATTTTTAAAAAATACTTAATACATCGTTAAAAAAGGTGCCATAAGCTTAAAATTTCAACTATCAAAGAAGAAATTGCTCCACAAAATTTTAAACTGCTATTCAATTTTAGCCCATAGAGAAATACTATGCAAATAAAAAAGTAACCCTAGATTAGATCGATAATGTGACAAACAGAATATGGGAGCAACTCAATTTTCAACAAATGGTAGTGATTGATGACATCAATTGATCAATTGATAGATTTGATTTAGGGCTGGGCGATATACCAGTATCACAATAAATAATGGTATAGAAATTTATATTGTTAAAAATATCACCTGATTAAAAATCATAATTTTGTTTCAAAAACCAGTAAAAAATATACCCATATTGTGATATATTAATGCTTAATATCGTGATATCAACTTGAACCAATATCGCCCAGCCCTAATTTGATTGGTTGAATACACCAATAATACACCCTTATAAAACCTTCAACTGAAAAATGAACTGTTGTCTAAAGATAAAACCTTAAACTGTTAAAAGAACAGTTGTCCAAAGATATTTTTCTGTGGTGAGGGGATATAATATAACAAATCAGAAATTTTGCTTTTCATTTACGAAAATCTTGTTCAATATCACTTGTTTAATAAGCTTATAGTACCGGTACAGACTTACCGTCTCAACATTTTATTGATTTTTTAAGCAGATGTTAGATGATGGCATAAAAAGATCCATAAGAATGCATGATTTATTTCATTACATGATATGATTTGTATTAAAATGTGTCAGTGTCTAAATAATTTTACACTGCTTGTAAGCAATAATAAAATATAATACTTTTAAATGAATATCTTGGTTGGGTGACCGCTTGAGAACTTGTAGAACATTATATGATGCGAAACTACTTTAGAGAAAAAAAACTGTTTGTATGCATATTTAGGTAAAATGTTATTTTATTTTTGTGTGCTATATACATAGTTTTCAGTCTATTGAAAATAAAATCTTGTATAATATATATTATTTGATGGATTCAATTATTAACTCGTAATATAATAAACTTACAGTATACTAGATTTTTCTGTTTTCCTCGGCAGAAAAAAAGATTGAAAAATTGTTTATATTTAGGTGATAAAACTGACTGTTGATATATGTGTTATTTAATTGACCAGTGATGTTCGGTTATTTACAATCAAGCTAGGTATAAGGGGTTTTGCAATCTTTCGAACTGTACCATGTACCAGTCACCCATGATATGTACATAATGTAGTGGCTTAAGATATCTAGATAGTTGAAAGTAGTAACAATATATATGTGTAGTTTAGGAGGATACCAGGGAAGATTTGCCTCTGGCAAACTGTTTTTCCTGCCAAATAAAGTATTATTATTACAGTTAAAACCAGGACTGTTTGATTTATCCTTATTCATGGGTTTCTTTATGACCTTTAAATGTCAATCAATAAGCTGATCACGTAATACACAAATGATTCTACTTACACTTTCTGAAATATTATTTCTCAAACTAGTTAATTACCCGTATATTATAAATTAAAGGGATTGTAAGAGGTTTTATAAAGTACCAAGGCTGTGATAAGGTACATAATTGTTTTGTTAATTATGATAGTTTTGATGCAAATAACTAAAATGTAAGTCAACACTTGACACAAAATGCCAATTAATATTTGTTTAATCTACACAAAACACACAAAAAACAACATGACTGGCTTTTAAAAGTCAATCACCGACAACTTGATGTATGGATTATAAGCATCTTTTGCTTTCAACAACCTCTAATAGATTGTCGTGTAAACAAAATATGTAATTGAAATTAAGAAAGCACAGGTAGAGGACAACTTTGGATACTGGTACTTCAACAAAATAACACTTATGAAGTTCGATGCCACAATTCTCCAGTAAATCAATGATATATTTTCAATAATGATTGTATATTTTGAGATATATTGTTTAGTATCTTAGTATCAACTTAAAAAAACTCCAGCTTTAATATGGGTGGGAAAAAACTTTTAATGAAAATTCATGGATTATGAACTCTCTGAAACAATGAAGCCACTTACTGATATATGTCTTTTCGATTAGTTCCTTCATATGACAATATATGCCTCGACAACAATTGATTTCAGTGTTTGAATTTTGTAGGTTCAACTACAGAGCTACACATCATATGGTCACCCATGGTTTTTATAATTTTTTAAACTGGTTTGATGATAGAGCATGGTATCCTCTTGGCAGAATTGTTGGGGGAACGGTAAATAATAACATTAAGATTTCTTCTCTGTTCTTGGACATGCTACAAAATAAAAAAACGAATAATTCAATTTGAGTGATTGTTACTGTTAGAATTGGCTGTAGAATATTCTGCTGTCAGCCATTTTGTTGTAAGGTAACTTATATTAACAACAATGTCATGTTCACAAATCAAGTTGCAATTTTTCCAATTAAAATTTTGATATAACTTAATTCAATGACTTTAATTTATCAAGATGCATTTGCAAATTTGTTTTCAATTTGACATGTGTTCTAGTTATAAATATTTGTGTGTGTCTGATGTCAAATGAAATTGAGGTTTATTTTTGTTGGAAACTTTGATATTTACTTGAAGTATAATATCGTCACTGAGTAATTTATTGAAATGTAAATTATTTTATATAACACAAAATACATGTAGGCTACTTAATTTCTGTAACATAACAAAAATTTCTTTATAGTCTAAACTAAAATTCTGCCTAGCAAGATTTCAGATATATTAACTAAGCAATTAAAACAAAAAAGCAAAACTGAATCCTTTTGTGTGATATTAGGTAAAAACAAAGGTTTTGTATGATCATTTTGACACATAATAAAAATTTTGTCACGCCTCGACCAATCATACTGAAGTCTCAGAAACTGGAAGTTTTTAGTTAAGCTAATCAGTAATAGTGTTCACAGCCCACCGTTGAAATTTGAGTCTTCAAATACATGTGTTTCCAGAATTATATGTGTTTGTATGTATAAGTTACAACTCGTCAATTGAAGACACTCTGTGATATAAAAAAAGACATAGAAATAGTGAGAAAATTCATAGTTTGAGCCGTTTGAGGTATTTTTAAAGGAATTATGTCATATATTACCAGTACTTCTGAAGACTATTTACATGTTCTCAAGACTAAAATCAAACCCCCAAAAATGCAACATCTATCCCTTTAATGATTCATAGGAATGCCACAGGGTGTTTTGTCAAATATTCAAATATTGTAATTGCACATGTTGACATTCTTCATTAGCTTCATCTAGAACAGAAGTCAGATTTAAAACCCATATTTATATGCCAACAATTGCTTGTAAACACTATATAAGGCTTAATTCTTAACAATTTTTGACGAAACTTTGTGTGAGTGTTTGTATTCACTGAAGGATGAACCCTATTGAAAATCACAAAAGCCGAAAAATATTTAAAACACTTTCAATTTTTAGCTTGTTCACACTAAAAATCACAATTATTCCTGGATTTTGACAGAACTTGTTAATATTATTCAGTATCACCCCAAAAAGTTCAAAAGAAGTGTATGACTGAAGGTTGAATATAACATGGTGGTGTTTATTGAGAGTCAAAGCTGCCATTATGCAAATATTACCTTTCCTGGCAAGCTATTTTAAATTTTTGTATATAATTGTAGGTATATCCTGGGTTGATGGTGACATCAGGCACTATACATGCCATATTAAACACATTAAATATACCAATTCATATTAGAGATATCTGTGTATTTCTTGCTCCAGTTTTCAGGTAAGTTTCATACTAGGTGTTAAGGGGTGAAAGCTTCTGGCTGACTTCCGGGAGAACTGGCACAGGCATCAGAATTGTTCTACCTAGAGAAGGATTTGAAGTTACAGTGCCAAATTGCCTAGAAGACAATATCCAATTCACTATTGACTGAGCTTTTTCACTGCCTTGGCTTGTTTAAATATGTGGATATGGCAATACTTAGTATTTATATATCACTTTCTTAAACACGATTTTATTGGTTTAGGAAATAAAATGTTTTGTCCTATTGAGATAAGCCATTAATGTCTTTCAAAAAAAATCAGTCTTATGAAAAAAAAAATATTAACTCACTTGTTACTCATTTGGACAAAATTCCATATTTTGATATACATTTTGTTACGTAAATCTATATAGCCTAAGTATCTTTAATAATATAACTTTTATTGGATCAAGTTAATATCAGGATATCAAGCATTGATATATCACTATATGTGTATAACACAATATAATTAATAAAGGAATTGTAGAGGTTTTTTAGCCTTTTATGTGTATCGATAACACCTTTGCTTTCTATTTCGAACATTTCCAGTTAACCTTTTTCTTTTGCGGGAGTTGTCTCATTTCAGAAAGTTAACTCTTTCTGGAATTGCAGGAACCACGTCATCGGACAAAGCATTGGATAGTCCCTTAAATGTTAGAAAAAACATAAATATCACACCAGTCTTGAATATTATTAAAAAAATAGAATTGTGTAGATGATCTTATTTGGATGAAAATTTGACGACATTTTTACAAGATATATAGATGTTTTGATATTTTTTGATCAGGTATAATGATATGAATTCCTATACCGGTACCAGTATATTGCCCAGCTATAGGTGAGACACAAAATACATAAAGCAGGACTGGTCACAATGTGTCAATACTTGGATTTATTTGAAACACTACACCAGTAGTCTTGATAATTTTGTTACCAGTATGTTGACAGATCTATCATGAGCTGTTTTAGGGGCTCAGATTCCATATTTCTATTCTTTCCAATTATCAAGGTTTAAATAATGTCTGGATTTGACAGCTTTTAATGAATAGACCATAAAAAACATAAACTCAAGAGTTGGTAAATAAGTTCTTTAAATCTGATATTCTCAACATTGACTGGTATTCTTTGTATTTTCAGTGGGCTGACATCATTAGCTGTATATTTTTTCACTAAAGAAATATGGAGTGCTGGAGCTGGGTTATTTGCAGCTTGTTTTATTGCCATTGGTATGTTAGTTAAAATTTACTTAAAAAAAATATAGTGATGTCATCAAAGACATTTAATGGAATTGCAGGAACCAGAGATGCCTGATCGAAAATTGGATGCTATAAGTGTCCCTGATACACATAAAAAAATTTAGAAAAACTCTTTACAATCCCTTTAAGAACTTTGAGGAGATTTTTTGAGATGATACTAATTAATAATTTTCACTGAAATCATCGGTGAGACATGCATTTTATTTTCTTTCATTTTACTTTACAGTACCTGGTTATATCAGTAGATCTGTAGCAGGTAGCTATGATAATGAAGGAATAGCTATTTTTGCTTTGATGTTTACATATTTTTTATGGGTATGTGAAAGTAGTCAAAATAAAATTTGGCATTCAATGTTAGTAATATGTCTATTAGTCTTTAAGGTACGGGTGGTTAAACCTCAGTACTAAGGAAGATTAGTATGTTGAAAGAGACCAAAAATATTGGCAAAGATTTCTCAAGGCATCACCTAGTTCTTCTGCTCTTTTCCTAGTAAACAAAATAAAATTCAGAGGCTATGCTTCACGCTAAGGATTAACCATCCTTACATTGCCAAGCTATTGCAAACTTTATCTTATACCTTGACTTCAATAGCCATTATTCACGGAAATCAGTAATTTGATTGGATATAGTCGATCAGAGCTCTCAACAGAAAGAGTTGAATATAATGGCTTATGGGTTGCAGACTTTCTCGAGGAAACTTAGCTTGGCTGTATTTGCTGGCATAAAACCCAATCAAATCGCTGCTTTTCATGATACAAGAGAGGTGGCTATTAGACAAAGTTAGTAATAGCTTTTACATTGTGAAGTTGATGGTACTTGAATGATAGACAGGATCTTTTCAGTTTTTTCAGTGAAAAATGGATGGTTATTTTGGATAATTTCTTATTTCAGATAAAAGCAGTTAAAACTGGTCAGATATTTTGGGGAATATGTACAGCATTATCTTATTTCTATATGGTGAGATTTCATTTAGTTACTTTTTGAACTTATCATGAGACATCATAGCAATCAGCATGAGAAGTTTCAATGATTAGTTTAAGTAATGGAAATTGATAATATGATACAGGTCTTTCTCATACAATCTTACCTAATACTTACCTTTTCAGTGATATATGAATTCTCTTTTGATCTGATCAAAAAAAAGTTTTGTTAGATGATTTTTATACCAACCTTGCTTGTACAATTCCAATGTCATTATAGATTCCTTAGTGTTGTATATCAAGTTTAGTGTCAAAAAAATAATTTCTTATACACTGTGCTTTAGCAAAGAAATAGTGCACATCAGAAAGCATGTTCAACTATTCAAGACTACTAAAATAGACAGCTTGTAAACAGTTATTATTGTTACATAGATGTGTAAAATATCTTTGCTACACTTAACATGGAAACTTAGTATTGCCATCACTCAATATATTTCTTTTGCAGGCAATGAAGACTTCTGTTTTCATATGATTATCAATGGGCAGTATGTATCAGCATGCTAGTGATTGATTGATATAAGTACTGTTTTCATACAGTTCTTCAAAATGTTCATCAAATAATGATTAAACGTAGGGGTTTTATGCATATTAAAGAGGTCTATATATTATTTTTGTCTTTACAGGTGTCAGCTTGGGGAGGCTATGTATTTATTATTAATTTAATTCCACTTCATGTATTTGTTTTATTATTAATGGGAAGATATTCAAAAAGAATTTTTACAGGTAATTTTTCTTTGTTAATTAAAGGGCCATTCCACTTTTCATCAACAAAAACATCGCAAATTATAGCTGAAAATATTTCTAAAGTATGCTATTTATATCTATGTATTTACTTGATCAAACTGAATTTGTATTAAAAGGGTTAATTAAAAACTCAAAGTACTAATTGTTAACCAAGTTTTAGTGATAGGCTTTATAATGGCTTGATAGTATAAGTTGAAACCTTTAGAATATGTAGCAGGCTTATTTATCTTCAATTAGGCATTTATCTTAGTTAAATCTGTACTGTAGATTTCCAACAGCTTCCAAAAAGCATAACGCACTTTAAATGTTTAGCTCAGTTAAACTTTAACATCTTGATTTTTTAAATCAAAACTTTCAGATATGTTAAGGGATACATTTCTAGATTTTGGTGTACAGATTTCACAAATTTGAGCAAAACTTTTTTTTGGATCTACAAAAATGCAGAAGGCCCCTTTAAATAATCGAAAATGATTTTGCGTTTTATTGCACAGGAATTTTGATTTAGAAAATAAAAAAAACATTTGGTTAACAAAACATATTGATCTCTATAATGTTTGAAATGCGATCAGGCAAGAGGAAGTCTTTATCATCCAATTAGTCTTTGACATTTGTTGGGAATATTCTGTTTAACTCCTCAGTTTTCTTTTTTCAGCTTATACCAGCTTCTTTATAGTTGGTCTTATTTTATCAATGCAAATACCATTTGTTGGTTTCCAGCCAATCAGAACAAGTGAACATATGGCTGCAGCAGGTAAGTGTATTGGTGTATATTTATACATAGCCACAAATTAAACCAACATGTTTATGTATCGATTGCATTATACTTTACTTTTCTTCTTGATCGAACCCTCTTTTGATAAAGGTTTTTCAGTTACTAAATGTTCTTTACTTTGAAAGATCTGAAAGATAGTTGACTTTTACTTAATAGTAGCCACATTTTATCATTTAGCTTGACACTGGCTTCTTTGCAAGGTCTAGGTTTGATATTAGTCTTGATTGAGAAAATAACTGTTCCCACTCCAGCAGATCAAAGACAATAAAACTGGTTGTTTGTATTAAAAGTGTAGAAACTCCTAAAAACTCCCATGTAAAGCAATAGCCAAGGTCATCAATAGAGAGGAGAAGAAAATACTACATGAAACTCTGTTCATTTCTTACTGTGATTACATCATGTTTGAGGTTGTTCAATACTAGATTATTCATCATTAGTTTCTTTTCTTTTCAGGTGTTTTTGCATTATTAAATGCATACAGTGCATTGAAATATGTGCAATCCTTTGTAACAAAAGCTGAGTTTCGATATATATTTATAATGTCTGTGGGTATAGCAGCTTCTGTAGTATTTCTAACTGTTGTAGGCTTAACATGGGCAGGTATGTTAACTTTGTTGAAGAATTGAATATCTATCAGAGAGTCACTTTTACTCCATTTTTCGTAACCATGTCAGTCTTGCTGGTTTTGTTAGAAAAATCCGTATGAAAGATGCAATGATTCATATGAAAATGAAGATTACACATGATGGAGGTGAAATTTCCTATGTAATAACTCATATACAACTAGAGTCTACGCAATCAGAATTTTGTTCAGCTAGAAAATTTATTTTACAACTAGAAGATTGTAGAATTGTTTTGTATAGAATTAGGGAATATTGTTTTCAATTTGATACATTTGCTTAAAGGTACAATGCCTCTTAGGATGACAAAAAATTGAAATTTTTTGAACTTGGCCAAAATGAGGCTTTGTTCATCAGTGGACTTAACTAAGGGTTTTAGTTCAATGGAAATATTGTCTTTTATAAAGATTCTATTCTTAGTCCAACTAATGAATATATACACTTGATGATACTTTAATTTATGTCTATGCTAAGAGGTAATGTGCCTTTAAATGAGAAAATTTTGAAAAAATAGAAAAGTTCATACATTTAATATCATATACAATGGGAATGTACTCTTCATATCTTTATTGTATAGTTTTAAATAACAGAACACTATTTTATGATACACTATTCAGTCACATTTAGTATACCATAAAATTGTGTTCCCTTATTATTATCTCTACCCCTAAATTTTGTTAAGAATTCTGTATTGTATTTTATACAGGAGTTGATTTTGATATTTTATTTGTAGGTTATATTGCACCATGGAGTGGCAGATTTTATTCTTTATGGGATACTGGTTACGCTAAAATACACATTCCAATTATTGCATCAGTATCTGAACATCAACCTACAACTTGGGTGTCTTTTTTCTTTGATTTACATATATTGATTTGTGCTTTCCCAGTTGGTGTATGGTATTGTATTAAATATGTTAATGATGAACGAGTGTTTGGTGAGAATTATTACTGTATTTAGACTTTTAAAACTATCAATAAACAGATTGTAAAGAGGTTTTCTAAATTTTTATGTGTATCATGGATATGGATAGCATCATCAAATGCTTAGTTTTAGCGGAGTTGCAGAAACCACAGACGTCTGATTGAAAATTGGAATGGTGCAAATTGATGCTATCAATCAATACACCTATTAAAGAAATTTAAAAACCTCTTTACAATTCTATTAACTGTTCTAGCAGTGTTGATATTTGGTGTTTTTTTGTGTTTTCTTTGGTTTTACTGCTATTAACTTAAATTTATGACTGATTTGTTTAACCTTACTAGAACTATTTAACACTTTAACATCAGCACAACACTGCTTTACATTGTTCCACAAAATTACCTTTAAAACTCATAACTTTTGACTGTCTTACATTTAAAATTAGTTATGTTCAAGGTCCTTATTCTTGTAAATGTAACCTAATACATGCATACAACTGTCAAATTAGTTGACTTATGCCTGTTTTTGTGAAAAGATCTGTAACAGACAGAGAATGTTTCACAGAATAAGAAGAATATAAAACAAAGTATAAGAATTTGATTCCATGTATTATTCTGTTTTTCAGTTGTATTATATGCAATCTTTGCTAGTTATTTTGCCGGTGTGATGGTTCGTCTTATGTTAACCTTGACTCCAATTGTCTGTGTTCTTGCCGCTATAGCCTTCTCTAAAACTATGGAAATTTACTTAAAGGATGATTCTCCAAAAACAAATCATCGAACCAGTGAGAAAGATCAAGAAAATAAAAATGAACGTTTATATGATAAGGTAAGATTACTATTGAAGCTACATAATTGTAAATAACTTTGTAGACATTGATGCAGTTATGTTATAATTTGGAATGAGTCTATATTCAATCTATTATTTGTTTTTACTTCAGATGGCTTTAGTTTGACAGTCATGGTTGACAACAAATTAGATTTTGTTTTTGTTCATTCTGCACTATTATGCTTAAGATCTGATTTTTGATGATATTAAGCCTAAAAGGTGCTAGATAGATATATTTGCCTATAAAGGAATTCCAAACCATTTGATTTGAATACCAAATTAAGTGTATATGGTTCCTCTTACACAATAGAAAAAATCATTTCAACATATCACCATGCAATGACACCTTACTTTGCCCTTTCCAAGTCTGTCAAATTTTCATTACCTTCTATATTCAATTTTACAGTGAAGCATTGTTATTCAAGGCATTATAAATTATGAGGTTTCTAGAATTACTTTTGAACACTATAGATAATTATGTATTACAGGTTGGCAAGGCTAAAAAAATAAGTGATAATAAACCTAAAGATGATGATACATTAGGTATTAATATTAAAAGTGTGATAGTGATAGCTATGTTGATGATGTTAATGTTATTTGCTGTACATTGTACATGGGTTACAAGTAGTGCCTATTCTAGTCCTAGTATTGTATTAGCCACATACGGCCATGGAGGGTAAGCTTTTTTCATTTTTACTCACATCCACATGGCTAAGAGAAGATATTCACCATCTTGCATTTATGTACCAAAAAAAAACAAAGAAAAAGTAATGTTAGATTCATTAATCTAATCTTCTGTTGCATAATCAGCAAAAGGCGATGAGAGCTTTTACTTGAGATATTAAAATCAAGAATTTAGTCTTAGACCATTCAAAGTGTTTAATCTTGAAAATCAGTCTGTTAGTTCAAAGGCTTATTGTTGAATTTACTCAAAATTCTTGAGGACTGAAGATGAAAATAAAGGCATATATTTGATAATTTCTACAGATGGACCATTTGATGATGTTTGATCTTAAGATGATTGGAGTGTAACTTTCATACTAATTAAAAACCTAGAGGCATCAACAATAATTTGTGGCATTGAGAAATGCACTTCTCTGAACGGGATATGCATGCTGTGATCTTTTTTAAGATTGCTATAAATTTGTTCAATTAACCTATAATAAGATCTGCTTTGTCAGTAATGAAAATTTGAATATTGTTTTATTGACTAATCAAATGAGCTGAACTATTAACACCCCCCTTGAGAATTAATTTGTTATTGATTTTGTTTTAGGAGTAGAAATATATTGGATGATTTTAGAGAAGCTTATTTCTGGTTACGGCATAACACTCACGATAAAGCTCGTATCATGTCTTGGTGGGATTATGGGTATCAGATAGCTGGTATGGGAAATAAAACAACATTAGTTGACAATAATACATGGAATAACAGTCATATAGCCCTGGTATGTTTATTAATTTGATATCATCCCATGCTGTTGTCATGTGTCTCAGATATATGATTCTCATCAGAACAAATAGTTTAGGCAATGGTCTTGTGTATGGTTTTAAGAAGACTCATTGAACAGGACAGAGCAGTCCATGGGATTATTCTATAGTACAAAGACAAAGATGATATGAGTTCATATCACACTTTCAGAATTTTTTAAATGGGGTAAACATTGAAGACCCCTTGAAGTCCGCGAAAAGAACATTGACTTTTTTGACTTGGGTCTGTAAAGAGTTGCTAGACCATAACTATTGATGTTTTCCTGTTTTTCAACTCTTTTATTAAAATATATAAAGAAAAAATTTAAAGTTGGCTTCAAGAAATTACGATGTACAGATTATGGGAGCTGAAAATCTTCTTGCTATGAGAAGATATAATTTTTTAACTCCAGAAATGGAACTGTAATGTACTACATTTTTTCTAGGTTGGTAAAGCTATGTCATCCAATGAAAGTGCAGCTTATGCCATTATGAGAGAATTAGATGTGAACTATGTGTTAGTAATATTTGGAGGTGTTATTGGATATTCTGGTGATGATATCAATAAATTTTTATGGATGGTACGAATAGCAGAAGGAGAACACCCAAAAGATATTAGGGTAGGTCGTCTTTAATCTTTTTCTTTCAGAAACTAGTCAGAGAGTCTTATGAAGTGATGTCTGTGATTCAATGAGTAACCTGCAGACCCAATGTTAAATCCCAGCATAGGTTGTGATAAAACCTGTTAATCCAAATAGAATTGAATTTTATTGATCTGATTAAGGGAGTGTAAAAGTTGGTTTGTTATTTAGACAAGCTTACAGATTTTGATGCATGTCAGTAGATGTTGATTCAGATGGTAATCAACTAGTAATAACTATTGTCTTGTATTTCAGGAATCTGATTATTTTACTCCACAAGGTGAATTCCGTGTCGATGCTGCAGGTTCCCAAACTTTATTAAATTGTTTAATGTATAAATTATCATATTATAGATTTGGTCAATTACAGGTAAGTCTGAACAAATATCCACTTTAAAAGAAGATCATTTTGATATATGAATCAAGTTAACAAAATATCACTTTGTGATAACTGTAGTGCATTTGAAAGTTCAAAATGTCCCTTAAAGTTCAGAAGGGATTTGAAGGATGTTGAATAGTTTTGTCTAAAGACCCTTTGTTGTTTTTAGAAGGGTTGATAACTTAAATTGAGTTACTCTTCCTTTCACAATGGATTCAAGATGACCTTAGATATGACTTCCATATTACTTAACCTGAGTGGGCATTCTAATACGTATATTATCTGAGATATAATTTGTGTTTACAGTTGGATGCCAGAACTCCACCTGGTTTTGATCGAACTCGAGGTGTAGAAATAGGAAATAAGAATTATGAATTAACACATCTGGAAGAGGCCTATACTAGTGAACACTGGTTGGTAAGAATCTTCCGAGTTAAAGATCTTACTAATAGACAAGAAATATTAAAACCAAAGAAACCAATCAAAAAATCTTACAAAAAGAAACCTAAAAAGGTGAGTTGTGAATATAGAAAATGCCATTGATATACCTTATGTATTTATTATACATGTATTTATATAGTACATTAAGAGACATAAGTAGCTGTTTGTATTTTACACATGATATTTATAGTCCAGTTTTATGAGGTTACTCTGAGCTTCGAAGGGTGAGAGTATTTAAATAGTTTTAGAAACAAAAACATGCAATAAATTTTTTATATGTGATTGATCATCGTTAGACAGATGGGGGAGTGTCCTTGTTTAATAATTTTCATTACATCACATGCTGTATTTAGCTATGTAAGGAAGTATTTGTTTAGATTAAGTATCTATCTGAATGACCACCATCTCCAGTCACTTCCTTTCTCTCTATACATTTACAGGGAGATTTATGCCCTAACTTCAACTTAAACTTAAAGTTTTTCATCCCAAAGCACCTTTCACTAGTTCATATATAAGGAAAAGGGAAAGGAAATATTTGGTGTCATTTCATTTGTTACTAGATATGAAAGTATATCTTATATATGACATTTGCTTTATTTTATAATTGAAGGGAAAGAAGAAGCCTGGTACAATAAAAAATAAACCAAAAGTTATTAAAGGAGCACGTCCCAGTAAAAAGTGAGATCAACATTTGGATGATTAAAACTTCCTCATTTTTGAATTGTTGACCTAAGAATTCTGCTTAAAAAATAACTTTTGTTTTGCAAACTGGTGTAATATTGAGGGTTATAAAAGTGTGAACTTGGTGTGGAAATTCATAGATTTTTTTTTAGGATTTCATTTGTTATTAACTGTAAGGATGTTGTGAACTATTCATTTAAATGTTAAACTTGACAGATTTCACATGTTATTTATGTTGAGTTCATAACTTGGGTTCTGCAAACTTTTCAAAGACATTGCCTTTTTCTTCTTAAATAGTGCTCTTCTGTTGACAAACCAAATGTCGTTCTTTTTTTAATATATTGAAGTTGACAAGAACAAATATAACTATTAGATAGCACTTAATGAGTTGACAAATAATTCAAAAGTTCTCTGTGTCAAAAGAGAAAATATTATGCAAGAAATGTTAAGACTCAAGGAGACTCACAGAATCATTGTTGTTGTAGAATATGTTTAATCACGGAATAGCATTATTCAGCAGACCAAATCAAAATAAGGTGACCAAACAGTTGTGAGAGATTCGTCCCTTAAAAATGTCATAGATCTGTCAACGTTATGTGTTAGATTGTAGTTATAAGGCGATTATGATATTTGAGATTATTTGATGAGACTAGGTATGAGTAATATAATGGATTATCATTGCTAAGAATTTATAAATTCGATTATTGATTATAGAATGTCATGGTATATTACAAGATTATAAGTAGTAATCTCTTCCACAGTACATCACTTACCTATTTAACTAGAGTAACCAATCAAAACAATGAATAACCATATTATTATACTTTTAGTTTCTATGATTTGAAAATAACCCATCAACAATTTTGACATGATTTATATATAGTATGTAGATGATTTCTCACTTAAAATATTTTGATTATTAATCAATTATTAATAGGAAACATATCATTGATAATCAATCTCAATTTGATAATACCTAGCCCTAGATGAGGCACAACTACAATCAATATTTAAGGCACTTTCAACAGTTACACACCAATAACATACATGCCCTTCTCCTCAATATTGTTTGGATTGAATTATTGGAGAAGTTGTCTAATTTCTATCTATAACATTCCAGATATGAATGTGACCAAAGCTTAGGTGTCATATCTACAACATATTGAGTTGTGTCCTCAAATAGTTTATCAAAATTAATTGAAAATCTTGCCAGTGAAATTTTGGCATTTTAAACACTTATTGTCATGAAACAGTTTAAAGACATTCTTAGGGATTTCTTTAATTAGATCTATGAATTCACTGATCCATTTGCTGCATTTACTATCTCTGGTCCAACACTACTGGATTTGATTTATTCTGAAAGCCGGGTCACCTTTCTTTTAGTAATTTTATATTTGACATTGATTGAGGCATTAATAGAGTAACATTACAATATCTTGTAAATTAAGAGTAACAGTACATTTTTTTTGTAAATCAACATTACAACATCTAATTGAACAATAACATTGCAGTATCTTGTAAACAATATCATTACATCATGTAATCAATAACATTACATCTTGTAAACAATAACCTCACATCTTGTAAACAATAACATTACCATATCCTGTAAATTAACAGTAACATACAAAATCTTGTAATTTAACAGTAACACTACATTTCAGATTTCTTTAATTGAGAATGTTATGGAGTAACATTTTACAATTTAATATTTTTTTTATCCATGTTTGTTAATTTGTAATTGAGTGTTTGACATCATGTTTTCAATTTCTCTGTACATAAAACAGATAAATTAAAATTTATCTTCTGTTGCAATGTTCAACTCAAAATGATGTGTATTATTACTTCAACATATTATTTTGTACTTGCAAAATTGTAATGTTATTGTTTCAAATAATATTCCGTTATGTTTTTCATTCTTGTGCTAGTGAAATGAAACTGTTTTGGGCTGTGTTGAACTTATCCAAAAGGGATATTGAAACTTCATGGCTAAACAATTGATCAGTTTTTAGTGGCTTGAAGAATACATGGGGACAAGTATGTTTTTGAGTGTTACTAGTATATACAGCGTGCAAGCAAATTATGCTTTGGTGTTAATAAAGCTACAATAATATATATTCAAGTTTTAATGGACCATTAACTATCAGTTGAATAAAATAAATTCGAAGTTTCATCACAAAATTTCATTAATGCTGATTATTTTCATTTTAGTTTACATGTACTTTCATTTAGAATGGTGTTATCTTGTAAAAGATCATATTCACAATGTCTAGCTATAATGAATGAACTTTCTCTGATACCTTGACTGCTATAACCACTATTCTTTTATCACAGAAATTTATAAATTTAACGATTTGATTAGAATGTACATGTTAGAGAATACAGCCAGTCAATAGCTCTTGACAGAAAATCTGTAAATAATATTTAGAGTTTGTATGATCAACAGTATTTGCTGGAATACAATCTAGTCAAATTGCTGCATTACCTGATACAAGAATGTTGGCTATTAGTGTCAATGTATACAAGACAAAGTTAGTAATAGCTTGACATTGTGAAGATGGTAAAAGATGTACATAACTGTTGTTGTCTTACTGTATATAATGGGCTTGTAATTATTTCATTTTTGTTACAATCAAACTTAATAAGTATTGTAATTGTTGACTTATAAACTATTTTAGAATTTTAATTTAGCTTTTTACATTTGCTTTAGTGCTCTGTGGTGTATTTGTAGTCAGAATCAGCAAAACAGTTTCTGGTGGGCGTGCATTATGGAGCATTTTGGCATACTCGGCAATCCATTGTGCAACAGTTTTTAAAAGGAAATAACTTGTATTCTAATGCGAATGGGTGAGAAATTTCAATATTTCAAGGATTTGATTGATGAGTTATTGCTCTTGATTTGATTACAATTGTTAATAACTCGGTTATGTTAAAGTGATGATAGCTTAGTTTAAAGTTAAGTCGATACACCATAACGTACTGGTCAACGTTTATGAACGTTCTAATCATTCAATTTTCGAGCGATGGCGAGGTGGACACATCTAGTGTGTGACTTATGCATGACTAGCGTGTGACTAACGCATGAGGAGCGTGTAACAGCGACCAAGTAAGATACTCATGAAAAGTCACTGGCGAGCGACGAATGATTTGTCAACGTTAGACGAGCATGTTACTAACATGTGAATAATGACATAATAGTGTTTGTGTTTTATGGTCGAACGGGTATAAAACACTGGAAAATCGTGGTGGATTCACTTGTTGTTCTTCTGAGATTGAACATCATGCAAAGCAAACGATTAATAACCAAGTAACGTTACGGTAACGCTAACGATATCAGAACGCGTCCATCGTTCGGCGAACTTTAGTAAAACGTTCCACGAACGTTCTTCAGCGTTCTCCAGCGTTTAAAATCAAACGCTGGTCTACATGAGAACTTACGTGCATGTTCAAAAATTTTTTTCCTGACCAATGTTCTCCGCCGATTACCGACGATTAACAGCGTCAACTAGCGTTCACACAGCGCTCATCCGGCGCTTTCCCAGCGACCATGGACGATAACCATAGAACCTCAAACATAAAACGCTGACCAGAACGTTATGGTGTGACGGCCCCATTAACTACTGGCAAACCATTCCTCATGGTTTTGATCGGATTTTGATTTTTTAGTTTACTACTTTGAACTTAGTTATGCAGGATAGCAATTTAAGAATTTTGATTTTTTCCTTTTGTCGCTGACTTTTTGATTTCTGAATTTTGAGCTTTTCCTATTTGCTACAATTATATTTGGATCGATCTAAAAACTTACAGATATCTGGAAAGACATTTTGAATTGGAACTGAGATGAATTTTGAAGGTTTTAACAATCAAATCAGCTAGATTTGTCTATACAAAAATATTATAATAAAAAATTCCGACTCAAAAGTAACGGATATTGATATGACCAACTTTTGTAAAACGTAGGGGAGGCACACTTGCTAGAGAGGAGACAACCTATTCAAATGCTACTTAGGGTTTCTCAACGTTTTCACGCCGCGTATTACGTCATGAAAACGCATATAAGTGGTCACATTTCATTTATAATAAAAAGAAAGATATAAGCTTCATTATGTCATAAACACACAACCCAACCGACACCCTCTCCTCCACACTTTGAAATTGGTTGTCTTTGTACATAGTGAAGTAATTTCCTGCAAGCCTCCCGCAAACTAGGTACTTGTTGGTAGTCGTAGTAGTTGGTACTTAAATTGGTTCAAATTGGATGATCTGTGTTGTTGGTTTGGTTGTTGATTCTTCGTTAGATCTGGTCGGGTCGAATGACATGGCGGTGAAACTCGACCCTGAATGGTTACTCGATCTCCTTCAATCTTCCAAACTTGTTCTGATCATGGTATATCTTGTTGATTGGTAATCGAATGGTAGAA